CGAAAGGTGGACAGACTACGGTAGAGGATTACTGAGCAATATCGCTTATGTGTGGCGATTATAAGTTATTTGCACGGATATTAGGGAATAGAATAAAAAAGGTGATAGGTAACGTAATTGACAGAGGACAATATGGGGTACCGGGTAGGACAATGAATGAAGGGCATGGAGTTCTTAGAAGTTTTATAGAACAGAGGGGGGAGTTGGGGGGTGGGGGGTGTTTGGCGTTGGATTGGCGAGCTGCTTACGATAGTGTGGAGAGGGATGCGTTATGGAGGTTCATGTGTTGGCAGGGATTCGGGAAGGAAATTATATCTTGGGCGAAAACATTGTATCAGGGGGCATCTATGAGAGTACAGGTTAATGGAAGGCTAGGTGTTAACATTCAGATGGGAAGGGGTTTGCGACAGGGTTGCCCTCTATCGCAAATATTGTTTGCGTGTCTCCAGGATCCCTTTTATAGGGCAGTTAGGTGGAGTATCACAAGTGGAGGGGCTAGTAATGAACGAGAGGGTCGGCCGGGTATTGTGGGTTATGTGGATGACACAACTGTATTGGTGAGGGATGAGAAGGATTTACACAAGGTAGGAAAGGTGGTAGATGTGTTTGGCGAGGCTACTGGGATGGAAATTAATGTGGCAAAGTCTAAGTATATGGACCTAGGCAATCACGTAAATAGAGGTGGGACTGTAGGGCGCGGGTGGAGTGTGGTGTATCAGCTATTGATTTGTGGGATAGTGTACGCTAAGAATGATAGGGTCGCACAAGAGGTAAATTCGATGCGCACCGTGGATGGGGTATTGAAAAGATTGGGTGGTTTGAGGACGGCGCAGCTAACGTTGCATCAGAGGGTCATTGTGACGAACGTCCTGTTGTATAGTAAGATATGGCACGTGGTGGCAATATACCCACTGAGGCGGCGAGAGGTGCAACGGTTGCAACATGGGATTTTCCGATTTATATGGGGATCGGGTTGTGACTGGCTAAGTAGAGGGGTGGTGATGCTTCCCGTTAGCCACGGGGGGCTGGGGCTTATACCTTTAGAAAAGCGTATGATGAGTGTGTATCTAAAACGCGGGTATTTGAGGGAGGTGGGGGCGAGGAGAGGGGGGCTAGAAAAACTGCGTATGGATATGCAACGATGGTGGGGGGGTAAGGATTTAATGATTGGTGAGGCCATGTTGAGGGTTTTAATGACGGTGAGGGATCCGAAGCGCCTTAAATTGAGGATTCTTGAGAGGGTGGGGGGCGGGTCTGTGGTGGCGGCAGTTGAGGGGGCATACCCCATGTATGCGTGGGGGAATATCTGGAAATGTTTACGGCAATTGCGTATTAAACCAGGTGTAAGGGAGGTAATGTTTAGGTTTCTACATGGAATCTTGCCGTCTGGTGTTGTGTTATTTAATAGGAGACTAAGGGAGAGTGGGGAGTGCAAAGCGTGTGGATGTTCCGAGACTATTTTTCATGCGGTGTATTTTTGTAATTGTTTAGAAGCTGTAAGGGTATGGTTAGGTAGGGTAGTTAGGTTAGTGGGTGGGGAAGGGTTACAGGTGTTAAGGGTGTTAAGTTTAGATATAGGTGGGATGAGTCAGATGGTGGTAAATGCGGTTGCGTATGTGGTCACTGATTTTATTTATACGTCTTGGGCTATGAGGGAAGTGGGTGTGGATGAAAGAATAAAGGTGTTAGCGGCCACCATTTATAGAACTAAGTGTCGCAATAGGGATCTTTATGGGGGAAGGTGGGAGACAGTGTTTACTGAGGGATACCGGAGTTTTAAGTTAAAGGATTTACGGGATTTAAGTGTAAAGGGGTAGCGACGGGCTAGTTTCTTGAGCGGAGATGTGTGGATGGCTTTTAAAGTGTGTGACTGGATTTGCACTGATACATTTATGCTTTTCCTGAGTAGTGAGTGTGGTGTAGGTGGTGTTTTTACACATGTGTTCCCTTTATGTTGTGAAGATTTTGGATAGTACATGTACGTAATGTATTGGAGCACTACATCATTGTGTGTATACAAGGTGAATGAAAGGGTAGAATCTTAAAGTTTTTGTGTGTGTGAGAATGACTGTTCGTTATTGTGAGAGTGCCTTCAAAGATGTTATAGAAAGCACATACTACATGGTGTTACTAAGGTATGCCATATGAATGTATCGAATATGCTGTGATACAAAGTCCGGGGTTTCCCTTCTTGTAGGATGCATTCTGTAAGACACAATTTCTGTATACCTGAAGGTTCGAAGTTTAAATAGCTGTAATGAGTAACGAGATTGCATTTTGGCACATAAGGCCTAACATATAATGTTTCAGCGGCCTGGTTAAGATTATATAGTACATGTGTGACACTGTATGTGTAGGGTAGTGTTATATATTTTAAGTACACGCTGTTGGTTTCCCTTTGCTATTTTAATGTTTAAAGTCACATGTAAGAGTATATGTAAGGTAATATAAAAATGTATATTGATTTTGTGTAAATACACAATTTTAGATGACTTTGTTGGATCAGGTATGTATATGAGTTCAAGTAGCGGTGTATGTCATGTATTAATACTGCTATAGGGTATATAGTGTATGAAGAAGTCTTGGGTGGATTGCACCCGTGTTGAGATATAGAGTATATTATCCTTGTATGCTAGGCAAAGTTTTCATAATTGTTACTTAGAGCAAGTAGTATCCTGCGCTCTTATAGTATGTTATTGTTTTGTTGGTATTTGATGAGGGGGGGGAGGGGTACCTTTTTACTTCCAGAGTATATATGTACGACTTTATAAATGTACCTTTGGTGGGGGGTGGATGTATAGGTTTTAATGGCATGTGGTGAGGTTTTTACCTTTAAGAATTGTTTTGTATATAAAACTTGGCATAAGATGTTTAAGTGTGCTGAAGTAGATTCTCTGGATATGTTGTTGGTACACCTGTGTGAAGTTTCTTTTTCTTTTTTGATTGTGTATACGTATGTTGTACTTTAATTTTGTTGTTACATGTTGATTGGTTTAGTGACATGTTTGCTTACACGTATAATGTATACTGTATTTTAAATAAAATATAAAAAAAAACTGATAAATAGTAATTATCTATGTTCATTTACTGTTATGTATATAATGATACATCCAAGTAAATGCAATTTTACACAATATACATTATATATATATATATATAATATATATATATATATATATATATATATATATATATATATATATATATATATATATATATATTCGAATGACATCACTGATTCGAAAGCTGTCGTGATAAAAGCAGATATCACAATTGAAATGATCCTCCGAATTGCAACATCTACTCGCCTCGTTCAGAGTGTAGGCTTCAAGTCTGTCTAACCAGTTTTTTCCGAATCATTTCATAAATGTTTCCTTGCACGTCAAGCGTTCCATCCACCCCCTTCCCCCCCCACACACACATAAAAGACTCATCTTCATTCAGTCCGATTTAACACGATCACATACAATCGCTGGTAATGAAGCCTCGACCATTTAACACTTTTGTCACCCCTAGTTTGTTGTGCCACCTGAGCTGCTAGTTTATTGTGTACCCCATGTTCATCCTGTCACCCCTACCTCCAGCCCTTTCTGGGAGGACCCCTCGGCCTCCTTCCTTCTAACACGGATTGCGCTTCTTTTTTATTATAATAATAATCTACCACGGATTTACAGATTTTATCCTGTTTTTTTTCATTCTTTCTAAATGGCCAAACTACCTCAGTTATTAATATATTCACACAAAATAGCGTTGAAACAGCAGAGCATTGGGTGGCTGGAATGTGATTACAATATTTGGGTCAGGTTAAGTGGCGATAATTTCCAGGTACAAGCACTTATATCTTTCCCTTCCCTGCACAGACCAGGTTATATTTATTAATGGTTTACGTACAGCTTTAAGCTGTACGTAACCTTTTCACCACCAGACATGAATGCTTTAATCCCTAAAATAGAGATTAAACACCTCGAGGTGTATATATCCTGTTACATTCATGGCGGAGCGCTAAACACGTAGGGGTCATACAGCTTCTAGGAATAGGAAACAGACTCGATCCAAAAGGAGAGCAGCTACAATTCCCTGGATCAAAACCCCTTCACCGGCATCAAGGCACTTATGAAGGGGAAAGGGAGAAAGCTGGAGAAGTTTCATTACTTCTTGCTGGCAGACATGAAACAATGTCATATTAGGTAAAAGTTTTGTAAACATACGGATTGTATATATTTCTTAATTAGTTTGAATGTGAACAAATGTTTTATGTAAATAGCTCTTCGTTCATGTCTATGTAGGTACAACTGTTATCCTAAGACAGGTTTAGTACTTTAGTGTAATGATAATATAAAATGATCTTTGCTGAATAACTTTTAGTTACAAATGAGGCGTTGCGTGACAGAAGGGCAGAATTATTATTATAATCAAGGGGGAAGCGCTAAACCAGGAGGATTATACAGCGCCTGGGGGGGGGGATGTGGAAGGCATTCAGGCTTAATTCGGGGAACTGGAGCACAGATCCAATTCCCTAAATCAAGAGCCCCTCACCAACATCAAGGAACCTTCCTTGAGGGGAGAAGGGCAGAAGCTAGCTATGAAGCTCACGTTACCATACTTTGTCATGAGGCTTCGAGCATAACATACAGATGCAGAAGACATTATCAATACATTCCTACAAACAGAAGAAACATTAAGGAGTCCATTCGTTCACTAACCTGGATTTCAGCCGCTGTAGTAGCACTTGATCTTTTCTACCACGCAACTCTTATTTCTTCCATTTTATGTGCTTCTGTCAAGCTTGTGGAGATCTCATCGTAAACTTTAAATTGTTATGAGAACTTTGTAAACAACCAGTTCGACGTGAAATTTAAACCATAAAGATGGTTGAAAATTTTCGTTAATATGCATATGATAATATTATAATTTTACTCTGCTAATTATCAATAAATTGTAAGATTATTGTAGTTTGACGGTTGCTCACTAGTGTTTTGTTCCAGTAATTACGGTGATGGTGGTGGTGGGAGGTGTAGTGAGCCGACCACTGCGAAAATTACTAATTTTGTCAAGTGTGTGAAGATGACTTAGTTGTAAATTATAATGGTTATAACCATAACCATGATTTATAAAGAGGTGGACCGGTAAGCCAGCGGAAGGCCTCGGTCAGATTACCAAAAGCTCCAGCTGTGGGTTATATGACTAAGACCCGCGTCAGGAAACACTTGTCCTGTTTCCTGACAAACATTATACCAAGATGACTTAGTTGGTGTACAGCTGTGAGATGGGGAGTGTGAAGACCGATCTTCCTTCTGCATTTCGCTGTGAAAATGTAAGTAATTATGACTCGTCCTACGTGGTAGTTGTAGCTCCCTCAAGCAGTAGTTCTTTAATAAGGTTAAATAGGCAGCACAGGGCAGTGTGTTGTGTGTCCTGCTCATGCCAGCTTTATCATGGACAACATATCAGGTCATTATTTATAGTTGTATGTCTGGCACGTCGCCACAATAACTGCACAGACATGTGATGAAAGTAAGAGAATGTTTTGTCAGAGCAAAGAAGAGACTAGTCTTGGAGATATAACGATTTATGATCGTACAGTATAATTACTGAATATAATCTATAAAGGTAAACATTATACTTCTGGTCTTGGAATGTTTGCACATAGTACAATGTGCATGATAAAGTGAAGTTTCGTGTATGATATATTGTGTAAAAGACCAGCTGAAATAAATTTTGCAAGTTTTAATGACATGTTAGCGCTCTCTTTGATTATAATAATAATTGAATGATATGTTAGTGTATGTCAACACTGATTTTTGTAACAATAATAGTTTCGAGGCATAAGGGTTGTATTTTCCCTTGATGTCGATAGAGGTTCTTGATCCAAGGAATGTGACGTATCCTTTTTCTTTAGATTAAGCTTGATTGCTTACCATATCCCCCCTGGTAGCTGTATGACCCATACAAGCTTAGCGCTCCTTCAATGAATAATGATAGTAACAATCCCGAGTTGTGTTGACGCACCAGACAAGGCGGGTGTAAGATGGTGACTGAATGCCCTCACTGGTTTAGCACTTTCCATGAATATAATAAGTAGAAGACATTTATTGAAGGTGGTGATGAAACTATCAGTATCAAAACGCCTTAAATTAGTTGTATTTCGGTCGCTGTGCAGTACGAGACGGGGATCCCCTTATTGCATAAGCCTCAGTACATGTGATAACAATAGTACAGAGTGCTGCGTAATTTTTAATACAGTTAAATAACAGCATTAAAGATTTTAAGCTAATTAAAAGGGGCTTTCACAAGTTATCACATGGGAATTAATATACCGATTTCGTCAATAACAATGACAAATTTGGACATACACTACCCAAAACAAATTCAAACTTTACAATAAATACCAGCTTTGAAGCCAAGCTGAAGAAGCATAATTTTGTTGAGAGAGACTAATATCCTAAAATACACCAGAGCATTAGGTTCGAAGCCACTTAGAAACGTTAATTAAGCCAATCGGATGAGACAAATTATAGCATGAGAAACATTTAAATTTTCCCCAATTTCTTCCATAAAAAGGCAGATTGGATTCTACACAGGCCAAAATCAATCCAGATTGTTCTCTTAAGTAAGACTGACCAGCGATGAAGGATAAGCAAGCAAGCTAGAAAATTTTATTAGTTCTCTGGGTACATAACATCACTTTTTTTATTAAATGGTTTTGAGTGCACCCTTGTAATAGGCACATAAAAATTACATTATGTATTACGTTCATGAGGAGCACTTAACTCGTGGGGTTAAGAGCTCCTCATGAGCTCCCAGTACCTGGGAGGCATTCAGGGAAAGAGACACAGGTCCAATTCCTTGGTTCAAAAGTCCCTCACCACCTTCAGGGAACACCTTCCTTAGGGGAATCACAATATGTAGAATTAGCCTAGGATAATCGAATAAAAGTCAGACACTGTGACTTACGTCTGATCAGAAGAGGCATTCTCTAGTTATTTCAATGAAAGCAGTTTATCCAATAAAATTAGCACATTAAAAGTTACACAACCTCAAATCAAGAAGCTGCGTTTGAGGGATATATATCAGCACAAAGTTTGAAGGTGATCGGATGATGCATTGTACAGTTAATACACAACATCAAAATTTGCACCTACGCAGCCTATCCCCCAAAAACATTTCATCCATTTCATAAGATGCATCAGCCATTGAAGAAGGATATCGTTCAGATTTTTTTTATTTTAATCAGGGGAAAGCGCTAAACTCTTACGGGTTATACAGTGATTGTGGAATGGCAGGCATTCAGATTCGAATCATGGAGTGGGGAGGATAAATCCAATTTCTTGAATCGAGAGCCCTTAGTGGTATGACACCCTCCTTGACGAAGCATACTCCTGCTGTTTAATGCAAAATACTATAATATGTCAATATCGAAAGTAACAAAATGGTACCTACACACTCCATTCACAATACCAACCTTCCAAGTAGGATACATGACTTTGAAATTTTGAAGCCGATCATAAGAGGCTTTTTAATATCGGCTGTCAATCAATTTTTGGAATGGTATTTATAAAATACAGAGGACATCTGCACCTCCGTGTGTGATAACACAGAGTTCCCCAATCTGAATTTCATGTCCAGTGAGATACATATCCTGCAGAGAACTTCATCCTGCAGTACCTTCCACACACACTAGTGTTCCCTTCACTTTGTTTCACGCGGAGTATTTTTCTTGCATAATTCCGCGTCTTTGTCTTGCACCATGAATATTGCATCTTCGTCTGGTATTTAATTAATCGTCATTCTTGTTAAAATTTTGTCTGAACTTTACCTATGATGCATGAATTATGTAATATTGTTTGCAAATATAATAAAACAGGCTATATTTTATACATATTGATATTTGAAATTATACATTAACTCAAAATTAGTTCCTCCTTTCCCAACGAAAACATTCATGTGTGTAAGAAACTCCAGTATCTGTATAAGAAGCATTCAAGTTAATAGAATAGGAAAACAATAAAGTATAGTTATTGAAATTCTTAAGAGAGGTTAGGCCGGAAAATAGTTACTTCATATTACACAAATTTTTGGCAGCGTTAGTGTAAGTTGGTTTGTTAGTTTTGGTGCCAAATAATTTTATTTCACAAGTTTGTTTCACTGTTGTACTTGGTGGGGTGGGCAACTTTTGAGGAAAACTGCGTGCATGCGGTACTATTTGCATTCCATTTACGAAAGAGCTTTGGAAGTTCCATTGCTCGTTTGTATTCTGAACCTCTCTCTCTCATCCTGAAGATTTCCTAGCGAAGTTAACCGGGAGAGTTAGCCACGCAAGATAACCCAAGAAAGTCAGTGCGCCATCGAGGACTGTTTTGTCCTTTTTCCATCGGGGTCTTTCAGTCTTGTCTCCCTGGATACGACCCACACCAGTCGACTAACACCTAAGTACCCACTTACTACTAGGTGAAAAGGGACAGGTGTAAGGAACCATGCCCAACGCTTCTACCCTTATTGGGGATTGAACTACAGACACTCAGTATGTGAGGGTGAGCGTTGCCAACCACGCCAATAAAATACAACTGGTTTACAAATGGATAACAACACTGACCATATTGCATTATCCATTTGAGCGTCATCTGTAGGGACATAGTAAATGTTTAGTGTACTTCCATACCCTCCCTAATGCGGAGGACGTCGGCAATCAAGTAGGTAGGTAGGTATAATGTTAACTTGTCAGGAAACAGAACAAGTGTTTCCTGACGCGGGTCTTAGTCATATGATGACCCACAGCTGGAGCTTTTGGTCATCTGACCGAGGACTTCCGCTGGCTTACTGGTCCACCTCTTTAAAAATCATGGTTATGATTATAACCATTAGCCACTATAAGTTTAAATTGTTAGGAAAGTGTGTGTGTGTAACCTCCCCTTTATAGTAAAGACGACAGCCAACTTGAGTATCCGATTTATATGGAATTATCCTATCTGCATCCCTTTCGTATGAAAATACAGGTGACGTCATTTACTTACAAAACCTGTTAACAGTAAATTTAATTAAAATACTTCATATTCATAATGATCAATACCTTTTAGTATTCCTGAATGATCGGTGACCAGCGTAGCGGTAATCTTGGATTTATCATAGGTGACTGATTGCCACCTGCTGGATCATCAATTTAGACACCTCAGAGGTTTACCATCAACTAAGAACAGTTACGCATTATAAAATTTCATGGCTTCCTCTATCACACCACTATTACATCTCCGTCCATGCCTAGTGGTGGTGTACCAATTAAGTGTCTTATATTTGTATATAGTAATGCATAAGTCTGTCGCATCCTTGGAAAATTTTATGGCAGTTAATTTGTTAGGTGGAAAGCATATCAGTTACACGAGGGTCATTAAGTTCACACATCACTTAGACATTGACATCAAGGATATTTTACATCTTATTTACATAATTGTAAACATATTGAGAAAATACACATCTTTGTGTATTTAACTAGAAGTAAAGTATTACATTTTTGTTACATAAAGGTATTGAGTATAAACAATTGTTAATTTATATTTACCCATATAAATTAGGTAAATATTTGACAAAAGTACATGAAATTCAGAAACACGTTGTTTAAGAAATATTACATCTACCTGTACTTTGTTAAATTAGCTAAATTAGATGCAGTGCTACCCTGGTCTGTGTAACAGTTTACAAGGTTAAGTTTGTTTACATAAACCTATAACGTAGCAGCTCATTGTGGTATAATTATCAAGAAGGTGCAGCCTATCACGTCCACATCACACATTAGAATGGAGCCCAGATAGCGGGTCAGACAGTCTGTCTGGCCCTAGGGTCGTGGAGGACCAGTGAATCACTATCACATGTTTACCGAACTTTTACCACGTTCTCCACTGTTGTTAAAGGTTATCCATCTTATCAAATGAACAGTGGCTAGAAGTAAATAGGTGAATGCAGGCCAAGAGATAGAAAGGGACCTATCTCCAGTAGCCAAGAGGAGGTAAAAACAAAGGTAAAACACAAACTCAGAAGACTGGACAAAAAACACAAGTATACAGAATAATAATTATTTCAACGAATTATTAGCCAGGAGTGTTAATAATCCAGAATAACATAAAAAAAAGCTATTGTCTGGTTTATTGGAGTCGTTTGATCCTCTTTCCCAGAAAAGACTCAGGAATCGGCTAACATCCCGGTACCTTACTACTACTACGTAGGTGAATAAGGGGCAACAGGTGTAACGAAACAATCCCAGCGTTTTCACTTGTGCCAGGATCAGACTCGGATCCTCAAGATGTGAGCCGAAGGCACCACTTT